ATACTTCTGGCTCTATCAAAACAAACTGGTACCTACTCTGTTTTTGTCTCTTGCAAACGATCGAGACTCTCTTCCACAGAATTTTGAAATCAAGATTAATGGTGTGAGTCTGAAAAGAGTTACCAGTAGTAAATATCTAGGAATAACTTATGACTATAATATAAAATGGGATGTTCACGTGACTAACACAGTAAAAAAATCAAATATATAGTATATAATTTTTATAGACTCAAGGAAATTATTATAAGAAAGCAGTTATTACAAATTTATTATGGTCTTTTCCATAGTGTTGCTGTGTATGCAGTCATAGACTAGGAAGGAGAAGCGCATTCTTAAAATTATTGGAGTAAAGGAACAAGATGCAGATAGACCACTGAGTATCAAACAAGCGTTTGTAGTGAATTATATAATTTATCAATATACAAAATCAGATGAATACTAGTAATAAAAGTATTATTTTACCGCGACACCAATTGGCTATTAGACAAATCTCAATGTCGACAGAACAGTGTTTAAAAAAAAGTTAAAGAAAACATTAGAAGTGTTTTCAATAGAATAAATAAAATGTATAAATTAAATTCAAAATATCTATAACTCTTCTTCAATTTTTTAAAATTATAAAAAATATTAATATAATGTGTATAATCGGAGGTGGAACCAATAGTAAGTAGTTGTAGTCTGTATTTATAAGTTATTTTAGGGCTAACCTATGTACGGGCAGTATTTGCCTATAAGTCCTTTACTGTATTATTATTATCTAAAATAATTCCTGTTTATAAAAAAAGAGACAATCACATTCCGAATAACCTTAGACTCATTGCAATCATCCCTATCTTTGGTAAAGTGATCGAGAAAGCCTTAAAAACCCGCCTTTGACGATTTTTTGCAAACCACAAACTTCTGAGCCACTCTCAGTTCGAGTTTCGTGAAAAGAAATCCACAACCCATGCGCTCATAGACTTTGTGAGCAGGGTGGTCCAGGATGATAATGGTGAGATTTCGAAGGCCTTGTTGTATAATCTTACAAAGGCATTTGACTGTATTGACCACGTTGTACTATTGAATAAATTAGAGTTTTACGGCGTCAGGGGTATCCCTCTACAATTAATAGAGTCATATCTTGACGGCAGATTTCAGTACGTCGAGAGTGGCGGCATGTCAAGTGATAACGTTCTCCCAGTAGTCTCCGGCGTTCATCAGAGCTCGGTACTGGAGCCACTGCTCTTCATTATTTACATAATAATCTGCCGCTGTCCATACCCAACACAAACGTGACCCCGTTCGCAGATGACACTGCCGTTCTCTCAAAGGCTAGCAATCATAGAATGCTTACTGAAAAAGTTGATGAAACTGTGAGGGTCCTTCAGCAGTGGTTCTCTGCAACCAACCTAGCCCTTAACCAACAAAAAAACTCAAGAACTCACGTTCTCTTGTAGCAAAGCAGACTTTCTTCATCAAGACAATATTACTCTACTGGGATTTGTTATTGACAGAACTCTGTCATGGACCGGCCAGATTGACGAAGTCTGCGCCACGCTGTTCCGTCGTTTGTTCCTGTTACGACATCTCAGCCACTGGCTAACAAGGTTGGCCCTAAGAACGGCCTACTTCGATCTGCTGCACAGTGTGTTGTCTTACGGTGTTGTGTTGTGGGGTGGGGTAAAAACTCGGAAAAGGCCTTTCGTTTGCAAAAGAAGGCCACGCGGCTACTTAGCGGCGCGAGTCCGCGTGAACACTACAGATCCATCTTCGCAGATATGGAGATTATATTTTATACATGCATGATAATACTGATTCTTATCGCACACTAACTAGTAGACATGAGTATAACACCAGGCAAGGTGACTCGATCGCCCTACCGTACCTCAGACTGACGTCCTCACAAATTAATAAAATCAATGTTAATTAAATGTAAATGTAAATTATACAATGTTCTGCTGAGCAGCCTTAAAAATCTACCAACCAGACAATTTAAGCAGAAAATGAAAATTTTCTTTATAGAGAATCCCTTGCAATTTGTGTGTACTTTATTATTGTTTATTTTATATATTTTTTCACTGCGATAACCATTCTAATTGCCATACTCTTGACGTACCATTTGTTGTTCTTCTGAATGGTTAATGAAGTTCTATTCTATTCTATTCCATTGTTATTATTATTATTATTATTATTATTATTATTATTATTATTATTATTATATTTCACAGGAAATATTGAATATAAATCATATGATATATTAATAATCTACTAATTTTATAACCAAAAAAAGAAAGAACAAAAAAAGGCGGAAGAAGAAGGAAAGATGCCACGTTTCCGTTAGAAGTTTTGCAAATCGTGGATCTGGCTAACTATCGTAAGAAAGTTGATTAATGTCTCCCTTCAAACCGCGACACATGAAAACGTAATTATTCCAAAAGAAACGGACAATCGATTCAGTAATGAACTAACTTGTAGAGAAATGATATATGATCTTCTCCCCTTTCAGGATAGGAACTTTCCTCCCTAAACATTAAATACTTCAATAATCTTCTCTGCACACTTTTAATGTATTAAGCCTGGCAGTTATATATTGGAGACCATACCACTAAGCTATAATCAATCTTGAATCTAAAGTAACAGTAAAATAATATCTTAATCGTAGATGAGCTACAAAAATACCTGCAATTTCTTATTGCGAATGTGAGGTACAAAAGAGAACATCTAGTAAAATAAAATCCCCAGATGCTTTATAGTGGCAAGTATAGTCAGGATAGTACTATCCATACTGTAATTAAAAACTTGGTAAGAAACCACGTTACACTTGCTGAAGATGGAATTTATTTTTAGTACACAGTTTTAGGTAATCTGCATAGGCAAGCAAAATTTGAGATCGTTTATGAATACATTCAACGGAAGGGGTCGAAAATTAGAACCCTACGGCGCGCCAGGGAGTCACAGTCAAAAAAAGGCAGGGAATATAAGTATAACAACCATGTCGATGCGTAAAGCGATAAATTTATGTAATACAACCTCCAAATATTATTGAAAAATTGTATGAGATCAAAATGGGTCGCGGAAGGATCACCCACAATAGGCAATTTTCCAGGGTTCTGTCGACATCCGAACATTCCATAACACTGCCTGGCGCATCAGCTGGTACATGAGTTAATTTAAGTGAAGTTAAATTGAGTTTGATCGTTCCTATTGATTAAAAAATTAGAGACGTGTGGAAGACCGGCTCGGAAGAAAACCAAAAAGTGGAATTTTTATAAAACAGTCAAAAAAATTAATAATATAGGATAACAACAAGTATTCCTTCTTATAATATAACACCAGCGTAGGAATATTTGTCTGACCTATCTGTTAATTGGTAATGAATAACCTTGATTCGAACCATATCGGTATCTAAAGCAGCATAATGTTTTGTCTTACTCGTCTTATAAATCGTAAGGTAGGGCAATATAGTGTCACCCGTACTAAACGTGTTCCGAGCTAAACCGGTAAGTGTACAATACCAAATTCTCTCTTGGGAATCTCCATGGCTTGTTAACCTACCGTTATTTTGAGAAATAAAGCAGTTGGTCACTAGGTCCTTCTAACGTACCAAAGTCTGTTGAAAAATCACAGCCACGTGTGACAGTGGATGTTTAACAGCCAAATAAGTACATTTGTAAAACTCAGTGCAGTTGTAAAGTTGGAATTACAATCTAAAATTTACAGGATGTGAGAAAATAACTTATTAATAATATATTATTTAAAAATGAAGATTTTTTTTAATGGTTTCATAATAAAAGAACCTAAAAAGTCTCTTGTCTTCTTACATTGGAACTGCCTAGTGTAAAATCCAAGATATAGAATGTAAAATTATATTTATATTTTTAATATTTAACTTGCTCCCCTTTATATCTTAACAGGTTCTTCTTTTGTTGAACAAGAATTTTTTTACTATCATTTTTTGAAATCGTGTCACATTTTTGTTAATCATTACCAAATCTCGAATAATGTTTTCTAAAAATTTTATTTAAATAATTTTTCTATAAAAAAAATTATTAAATTAATGAACATATATTAACATTACAATAGTAGAGGCTACGGACTACTATGAAATAATCAAGAGCTGAGCGTATAGGCAAAACGACTTTTGTTGACCGTCGATTACAGTAAATGTTTTAGTTTTTTCTAGAGTAGATTTTCGATTGCTTCCAAAATTATAAATTATTTAATATTTTGCCAACATAAGTAAGAAATGGTGTAACCACTGTTAAATAATAATACTCAATACTTACATTTGCAAGTAGAAAAGGATAAAAAAAATTGCATTAAAAGATACGGTTGAGTTTGCTGCAAATATAAAATCAATATTAAATATTGTTGATAATTCTTTCAATTTATTGAAAAATTTTAATTCTTTGATTGAGCGCCAAAAATCAAGAAACACGAAATATGTGCGGAACTCTCCAAAAGAAAATAATAAAGTTTAATGGAAAAGATGTTCAGTATTGTTGTGGATTTTTTAAAAACATATATGCAGATATCTGAATAGCCGATTTTTTTAAATTATTTATGTTCATGTTAATCAATAACATCATATTATTTCTCACAGTTGCCAGCTATCATTTAATTATGAAGAAGCCTTTATAACATTTTTGGAATTAACAAATTATAATTGAAGATAATTCACCTCAAATTCTTATCATCGAAACTTCAAAAAGTAAAACTCTACCAGGATAGGTCAATTTAAAAAAATCTTAAACGCTAAAAAGTGTATCAAATAGAGGTCGAATTTGTATAAAAAAAATTATTCGGCTTGCCACTTTGTTTAGTCTCTTATTACTCAGGTAAAATTGAAAACCGCAATTCCTAAGGGACAGTATGGCGAGGAATTTATGTCAGTCAATTTGCACATTCGTATGTGCATGCGATCGCGAAATGTTTATTGTTAAATCAATTAACCGCAATTCGTAATTAATAGTACACTGCACGAATACAGTTCCTCCACAACTGACCCGACTGTTCCAAAATTTAGCGGAGACGCTCACGTATGCCTCACACCCGTTCCCAAAAATTTAGATCAGTCAATTTCGTTCGCGTATCTTTCAACACGATCCAGTAGGCCATGCAGCGCACGGTTTCCACGGTAACGCGGGGCAATTGAAAATCCGGCCCCACGAAGACGACATTGCGGCACACTTGATTCGCGCGGTTAAAAAGCGATCGGTTTGTACTAAAAAAAAATCCGCGTTAAAAGGTTTTGTAATAGTGCAGTTTTCTTTATGACTAAATTTTCCGATTCGAATTGAATGATAAACAAAATGAAAGCATTCGCGATAATTATGCAGTGCCAGTTTCATAAAGTCGATTGATGACAATAACGGATGGTTTTAGGTATTTTAAAAAAAATAAGGTAAGTACTAAGGAAATTAAATTTAATAGCTGTACAATAAAGTAATGAAATTTTAAACTCAAATCATAATATTTAAATGGATTGGCAACGCATTTTTTGTACTAGTACAGTAAAGTGTTTTTGAGACTGTTCTGTTTATTTTGTGTACATTTTTTTGTACATTTTAAATCTGAATTTGGTTAATTAAATTAATTAATCAAGAAGTAATTTTTGTCCCGAAAGATACACCTTAACATTTCCGTTTTTAATTCACTTAGATGTCTTCGTTTTTGTAATACTGTAGGGTGTTGAGAAAACACACGCCTTAAAAATTAAAGTGTTTTAAACGCTAGGTCAACAAAAAATACTTTTTCATTTAACTTGTATTGTTATTTTTCTTCAAAATGGTCAAGATTGTCGACAAATTGATAATTTAAAAGAAAAAACATCAAAGTTTTGTTATATGTACGTTAATTTTAAAATTTAAATTACGCTGCTGCATAGTTAAATACAATGATCAATAACGTCGAAAAAACCAAACTGTATTATTTCCGAATACTCTAAAAAATAACGTATAATTAATTATTAGTTAATATCGTAGAAAGTAAATTCCTCGAGTCCCAAGCGCACGCACTTGAGAGGAATGTGAGTATTTCAAAACAACATAAACGTGTTGAAATGTCAGAAACCATTTTTATCGTATTTGAACTATTAGAACTGAAACTCTAGAATTTGAAATAGAAACTTGTATCAAAATGTCTATGTAATCAAAAGTTATTTACCTGCTTAAGGGTGTGTAGTTACAATCAGTGAAATTAAATATCATCTAACCAAGTGACACTGATTGTTTATGAATAGTTTTAAAACAACTTACAATAGTTACTTGAATAACTAGTTCGTTTTGAAGCAAATAGACTTTTTATATTACGCATAGCACATATTTTCTACGATCAAATAAAATTTACCAGCTTTACAAAATAGTAAAGTGTGTAATAAAGTTCAATCGAAAATATTTAAATGGTAAGACATTTTTTGAACTAGTGAAGCAAGTAAAGTATTTTTTGCATTAGTGCAAAAATAAGGTTAATTTGCAGTCACTGTAAATCACTGTAAACAATCCGAAGAGTATACTTTTTTCACGATCATAGGAAAAACTATCTTTTAATGTACCACAAAACGCGTAGGTGATCCCCAGACTATTTTCATTCATTCTTATAATAATCCTAATAATTAAAACATGATATACAGCGCGGATAAAGAATAAGGTTCTAATCTAACCAAAAAAAAACACGATGCCTCCAATTAAGTGGTATAAATAACTTCATGGTTTCTTTTCTCATGCACGTTCGTTTCAAATAAATTGCGTGGTCTAAGCAAATACATAATCTGGAATATCGACTTATATAACACTGAAATAAAACTTGATTGTGGCGATTGCAATTTAGTTATTTACTATTTGAAATTTTGTTTCTGCTTTGAAATTTCTTTCTTTCTACCAAATGAAAATGCGAATTTCACTTTTTTTTTTAATTTTTTTCATTTTATTGCTACAACTGGGGTAGTTTTGCTTAATCTATGAATATATTTGTTCATGATGTGTTTATATTGTGCGCACAATATACTAGTTTCAACAATGTTAGACGGCATTGACTTTGTTACTAGTACAAGTTCCTACGATGATGATGATGAGTCCGAAATAACAACTTACGCTTTATTATTATGTTCCGACCGTGTCGGAGACAAATTTCAGGACAAGCAGTAGGCATAGTACCAGAAGTTTCTAAACCTGTTCCGAAAATAAATTGAAATTGTCTAAACAGACGCCGATAATAGTAGATTATGTATCAAGTGTGGTAGAGGGCATTTGAATCATTAGTTTATTTGGCACGAGCGGAGCGTAGCGGCACGAGTGCTTAGTAAACGAGTGATTTGAAGAGTTTACTAAACGTGTTGCATATTATACTTTTTCTACTACTGTTAGTTTTTGGGTACATTTTTACAAAATATCTGAATAACACGAAAACATTCACTGACATGCCAGAATTGACAGACGTCAAAATTGAAGTCGTAATATCCCAGAAATGTCCGAAGTTACTCGGATGTGGTAAATGAAACTGACGTGGTAGATTGTCTCTTCCCGCACGCTAGATTGGTGTGTAATTATACATTTTACAGACGGGAGTAGAAAAAATAAGTTAATGGGGACTTCCGGGCAGCAGACATTGGCACGGCGTTAAAAATATTTTGAAACAAAAGAAAATGTTGAACATCTACCAAGAGAAACATTGTATACATGAAATGAAACTGACACTTTCCGCAAGCTAGACCAGTGTATAATCAGGCATTTTAGAGAAGGGAGTGGAAAAAATATTTTATCTAATTATGATGATTTGCTGGACTAATATCAGTTCTTAGAAATATGAAAAAAAAAACATACAAAAGTTGCTTGGTAGGATGATAACCATACCTTTACATCTCAGATATCTGATCTAATGTACGGAAATTTTAAAACCGAATGGCAGTCGGGATTTCTGCGGACTTTTAAAGACGTATTATAAATTTATATATAAGTAAAAAAATACAATTTTCTTTTAAACTGCCGCGGTATGCGATATTGCATGCTGTATCTTTTAAATCTTTTTAGATTTAACTCCGTGCTACTGTTTTCTATGGAGATATCTGAAAACAAGATTTTATAAACATGGACCCAACAGGAGGCCCTTGACTTCTAAATCTTTGTTATTCTCTTCTTCCACTTTTGTCTGTCAGACTGATCTCGCCAGTTTTCGATGCCCATCTCCCTTAAATTTTCAATGGCATTTTCCGGCCACCTTTTTCGTGGAATGCCTCTTCTTCTTATTCCGGCATCCGCTCTCTCCAATATCCTTTTTGCCCATCTACCCCCCTTCATCCGCAGGACATGCCCTAACCAGCGTGGCCTCTGCTTTATCACTTATCGTTTTATGTTGTTATCATTGTCCGCGTTAGTTCTTCTCCATTCCGCTTCATTTACTTTAACACCTCCATAGATTTGCCTTAAGATTTTTCTTTCCCAGATTGCTAATTTCTGTTCTTCTTTCCTATTCATTTCAGCTCCGTACATTACTTTTGGTCAAATCATTGTCTTATAAATAATAACTCTTTGGCTAGTTAGCATTCTATTTAAAACACCAACCGTTTTATTCCCCTTGGCAATTCTTTTTTCTACTTCGTACTCCTCCTTCCCCTTTTGCATCAAAGTGACTCCTAAATACTCAAATTGATAAACATTCTCGAAGCTGTATCCCTGGCTCCACTTTAAATGTGACATATGCTTCATTGAAATTTTTTTAGCAGACCATTTGCAGGTATTTCGTTTTTTTTTCATTAATCATTAAACCGTAATATTTTATCCTTTTTTCGAGGTCTTTAAATATAATTTCTAGCTCTTTTCTGACTCTTGCTGTGAAGACTACATCATCTGCGTAGGCTAAACATTGATGTTTGCTATTTTGTTATCATACATTTTTCTTATTCTATCGATTCGGCTATCTTTTCTGAACACCCGTGGGCTTTTTCTTTAGGATCTTTGCAAATACTTTATAGACAACATCTAATAACGCTACACCTCTATAATTATTATAGAGATGCAGTTTTATCTCGCTTTTTGTGCATCGGGCAGATCACAGTATTTCCCCATGAATTTGGCTTTCTTTCTTCCTCCCATATTTGCTTTTATGATTTGTGTTGAAACAGATAAATCGAAATCATGTGACAAGATTAGTATTTTTTGAAAATTATTTTTTCTTAGTGGATTGTGAAACTAATTTCCTATACGATTTCATGTCATGTTTCATTTCACCACAAAAAACAAGTAATGTTAATTATTACTGATTTTGTAAGATTTTTTTTTCGAAAAGTTTGAATAATTGCGGTTTTATCATGATCATTCTCTTTTGTAATTTGTGAGACTCCGAAAAAACCAAATAAATATTGGACCATGTCAAAAGCATTTCAGTACAAAAAAACCTCTAAAACCATTTATCTTTTTTTCTCGTTATTAATATATAACATATTAATAATTGTAAAAATTGAAAAAAAAAAACTTATATTATAAATAAAATAATAAATATAAACTAATCAATTATTTCAGAATACCATTAACCATGAACCATAAAAAAAATCAGTACAATCGGGTCAACAAGTTTCATCTCCGCATACAGAATCGGTAAAGCCGGTTTGGTAAATCGATTCCATGTTTCTGGTGACATCTTTCGATTGCATCAGAATGCAGCACGTGCCTTAGGTAATAATCTCAGGTTCATACGAATTATTCGATTAACAAACCTGAACGAACTGTTTGAACGAGTTGTGATGGTATTGACGTAATGGAGTTTTTCCTTGGGGAATTATCGACCACAGAAACTCGAGCAAAATTTAACCTGCCACGAAAGTTTACAGAATGATTAATCTCCGCTCCTATTATACATACAGCAAGAGTCAAATGGGTAAAGTTTTAAAGAAATCTAATGCATTTTACAATTGGCTTCAGATTTACGATCGGTAAATTGGTTTGCGAAATATCGGCGAACAACCTAAAATGACGGATTTCGTGTTTACGCAGTACTAAATCGAAAATCAGAAAGTCGTGGTAAATTTAGTTAACTCTTCAACAACCTACAAGTTCAACACAAATTGAAAAAGAAAATCGTTACAGAAACAATTTACAAATAATGTAATGTAAAATCTAATTATGTTGGTAACTGGTTATGTATTTACAGATTTGCTAAAAGACGTCAATTTGCATCGAGACATTTTTGGCAATTGGTGACTGTTTTTCGTAGAATTCTAGCAAGTCTATTTCCATTAGTGTTTCTAAATGTGCCCAAAACTCTTCGTCTCAGGATCTAACATGTCAATTTTTTTATTTGAATAAGGAAGAGCAGTCATTTTCAGGAGGTTTAACAATTTGTTCCATTTATGATTTTAATGAGAGAAAACTTTGATACTTTAAATTATTTAATGTCACAGTAGGAGCCTGCGTTAGATGAAAAAAAGGTGACAAATAAATCATGGCCTACTTATAAAATCATTAGGACCTAGCTTTGAGAAATGTTATAAAATCTTTTGTGCACTCCATAAATCCAAAAATCAAATATGATGGCCATAAGAAGCTATCTTACTAGTCGTAGAAAAGTGTTGGAATAATAATAATAATCACATTTTGACAGCTGCCAATTTAATCGTTTCGGATTTATTAACGAAAAATGAAACCCGTCATTTGCGACACAAAGCCCATAATTTACAAATTGTAAAACTATTGTTACCCCAAAGAATTCGATCATCTGTTCCTATCCATATCGTTTTTAGACAATATAGTGGCCCTACTACGGTAATAATTGATGCGTCTCAGGCGGCACTGATATTTTCGTAGAGAAAGTTATGATTTCCAGATCCTTAACTCTTTTTCCCAAAATGTTTGACGAGATCTTAGCATACTGCCGTAAAAATGCCGCATCCAAACTTACTGAGAGCCTGTCCGCGGGTATGTTGGTTGCTAACCGCCGTAAGGTAATTGGTTAGAGATGAAATTTAAAATCTAGCGCAGCGCATGTTGAACGGAACTTTTATAAAATGTTTTCATAATTGGTCCAAAAGTTCCTGTATTATAGGCGTAGGCATATTCCTACTAGCTATATCTTAGCATCTAATGTTCTTTGATTGGATTTTTTTTAAATAGTTGATTTTTTTATTCCAAATTTAGCAGTGAATGTGAAAGCGATACTGGTTTTGATGTTCCTCCGAAATCATAATGGGAATGTAATAGTACAATATTTGAATTGTTCTTAAACTTCCATAGCAAAAGGTAATTAGTTTTCAGTGAAAATGGAAGACCACATCCAAAAATAGTTCGCAGCTTCTTATCGTTGATCAATGAGTACTAAAGTTTGATTAGTATATTTTGTAACAATCAAGTATGATTAGAGTCATTTTAGTCATAAGCGGCGCGGAACAAATTGTTGTCAAATCAATACAACAAGTATCGTTTATCATACTTGTTGTATAATATACCAATTTAGTCGAAATGCCTAAATTATTTCATATTCTTCTTCTTGGTGCAAGATTCTTTTATTAAGGAATATTGGAACCGCAGTTCAATATTTAGCACTGGTCATATTTTGCAAAATAAAAAAAGTCAATTCATTTATTGTATATGCAAAAATAAGTACCGTGCAAAAATAAAGTGATACCTGTTTGCTTCATTACCACATATGGAGGATCAAGTTTAAAGTTTTAACGCAAGACTTTGAGCCGATAATAAAATTTTTACCTGGCTGACCTACAAAAACATACAATTTCGGAAGGTGTGGACTAAATATTAAAATGACGCTGTCGATTTTAAACCATGATCCGCTATGATACATTAATTAATTTGCATTTAAGTCACGTTTCTAAACTACGGACGCAAACCTTCCTTAACCGTAATAATTCAAATCGCGTACGCGGGCGAAAATTTTGGCACTCTGCTCAGTTACGAAGTAATTCGTAAAGTAAAAAAAACATTTTATTAACAACAATTTAGGGGATCTGTTAACCATTATTGTAAATAGTCGAATTTGATCTCCCTAAGAAGGTAATGGTTGGGAAGGACAAATATGTAATTTTCCTTGAAGTTTAAAAACCGATGAAACAAACCTAAGCATGACGTTTTCATAAAATTGCAAATAACGAATCCGAAAAAATCAAAGCGAAAGAAAGACCGTTTACCATAAAGCTATGGTAGCAAAATATGCAACATGCACGACGATATTGCACTTTGCATGCCAAAACAAAGAAATTTATGTCACCTCTCGCTATGAATTTCAAACAAACTGAAAGGAAGTATTTTTTCACACTTGCGATTTTGTGACCAGAATTAGTTTACTGCGAGGGCAAGATGAAACTGTTCTAGTGTTTGGACGAATTACTTTATTCGTTTGTGATACCAGCATATCATAATTTTAAGATTGGATATTCACTCAAAAATAAATTTGTCTGTAATTACGATTTTAATCCCCATTTAACACTTACGCGGTATGCAGTTAAAATTAGAAAAACTAAAGTAGAAAGTAAGTAAGAAAAAATTTCAAAAAATAAATATATTAAATAATAAATGAAGTATTTAGAGATTTCTAGGTTAAAATATTTTAAGGAGTAATTAAGTTAACAGTGCCTTTCTAATATAAAAGAATAGCGAATGCCGGTGTGCTTGCGTTTGGAGCACAACGCCTACGCTTAATTTATTTATAACTAAAAATGTTTTACTTTAAATATATTATCCAATTCAGTGAAAAACTAAATTTGAATTTTTAGATATATTTTAAGAACGCGTACCTGTTTAACTAATATTATCCAAATGGCGCTCTCAACCGACAAATCATTTTATGTTCATAATTTTTATTAAGAAATTAGTGATGTGCAAAAATATTTTCAAAAAACATTGTTTTCAGAATGAAATTGCCTTCGAACTTGGTACAATACCAATATCTGCAACATCATCCACTAACTTTAGTGGTCTTGATAAGTATTCTTGTATCTCCATCATCGACCAAGGATCAAAGGTATAGCGGAAATCGCCATAATGAATTCAAATCGAGACAAAAAAGGATTCTCTGGGTGACAGAAGACGGAAGGTTGGCATTACCTCCTGGAACCACCATGGTTATTACACCGTCATTATCAATGCCGTTCGCTAGGTATCCACCGGAGGGATTTTTCTCGAATTTAACTCTTAGTCTGCCATTTACTAGTAAGTTGCTTATGATTAACTATTTAACAAATGATAGAATTGATCGAATGCAGCGTGTTGAAATTTGTTACAGTTTACGAGGACATTTTTAATTAATAGCGCATCAAAAATCTTTCGGAACTTTAGGTACGCAATACAACTACACTTCATATAAAATAAACGTACCAATTTGTCCTTAATAAGGCTAAAACAGCTTAAAAAATTGTATACAAAAAATATATACTGTTTCAAATTCAAAGTCGACAATGTTTTTCAACAATATTTCTTTTTAAGATTTCTCAAGTAATTCTTTTGAAAATTATTGGATTTTTTTCTGGCTATAATACGATTGCATTCTCCATGCATAATTAATAAATTCATTAAAACAGCATTAGAATACTGGTTTCCTTCCATTTTGAACCAATTTTATCGACAAAATGTGCACCACAATCAATAATGAGTAAATCTGTATTAAACTGTCATGTGAAAATGAATTATTTAACATAAGACGAATATTTCGTGGCCACCAAAAAGATGAATTATGCCAAAGTAATTCAGTTTTCAGAAACCAAAGGATTTAGGTATAGGGACATGATACATCATTCGAAAGGGAATTTAATTTTAATTAATAGAATTTGTGATTATATAGAGGGTGTTCAATTTTTAAAAATTCCTACGTGCATAGATGCAAATCATTAGTTTTGAGCAGTCCTGGATAATGTAGAAACTAGTTTCAATATTAAGAAAATCTATTCGATACCTCGCTAAACTATGCCCAAAATTTTGAATTTTCTACTAGGTTTCATTTTATTGACTAAAATACCCAATTACCAAACGATTTATTAATCGGTTTCAATTTTAATTTATAAAATATACTCAAAGAATTTAGTTAATTAGCGTGTTGTCTCTTTGAACTATTTTAAAGGTTGTTACTTTGTTGATGAAAGTCGGGGTTACTGTCGCTTGTCTCTGCTCTTCAGAACCTGTTGCCCTTCGTATCCATTGCACGATCGGAATAATCAGCACCATTGATTGAAGTAGTTACTATGTGTGTTCTGCCCTTAGTACCAATATACTGATGTGTGTCTCTGCCCTTTAGTTTGGTTATTATGGCCTGACTTGTTTATTGCACTGTCGCGTGTTGCTGGCCTTCAGTACCCGTGGGGTTATTTGCGACAAGATACATCGCGTGTCTCTGCCCTTATAATGCATTGCACGGTGGGAATAATCAGCACTAGTGAATGAAATAGGTACTATGTGTGTTGTGCACTTAATACCAACCTAAACTCAGTTCCAGATTTTATGTTATCTGTGTTTTCTGGTGATATTAAGTAATATCAAGTTTGTGTTATTATTTTTAATAATCTTTGGTACTCAGGTATTTTTTTTAGTTTCAAATGCGAACCGTGTGACCTCGCTGACGGACTGATCACTTTTCGTTTTAACAAAAATGCTTTATAATTATTCATTAAGAATAAAGAAGTATATATATTATACACTTTCAAATTAAAATTTTATTGTTATGCTTACCCTCTCTTACATATGTAAAAATAGAATGTAATCGTATTCCACATCGTTTAAAATTACGTTAAATTAACTTAGACAGCAAAAACCAAACACTCTGTAGACCCAAAAAGAGCTAGTGATACACCTAAAGAATTTAACTTAACACAATCAATTCTTGTATCTATCCTGTTTGTGGATACATCTGTAGTTTCCCACGCTCATATGTACTCCCGCAGATTCCGGATATCTACTTACAAAACTCTCTGAAAGATGTCAGATCAAAGCAAACCAAAACTAATTATAAATTAATCTGTTCCACCTTCCAAAACTAAATTAAATAATGAAATTTTATTTCAGTTGATTTCAACAAATTAGGTTTAACAGATAACGAAAATCCCTATGGGATCCTGCCTCCCCTCTTAGCGAGATCTATGGGAAGAGCAGCTGGTGGGATGTTGGCGAATTATATCGCAAACATATTCGAGAGGCGCAGGGGGAAACGGTAAATACCGTGTATCTCATTTTTGATGGGTTTACGGCGTATCTCCCTTATAAAAAAATTTAGCGTGTTGCGGCTTTCATGCTATCAAATGAAGACTGGTACAAACAAAAATATCGTAGCTATTTTTTACTTTAAGATACAGAAGATTGCATATTTAGAATTTGTAGCTCGGTTACGTGTAACGTTGCCGTTGTTTATGTAGGACCCGTCGTTTTTTTTAACTCACATATTTTGCTATACATACTAAACTTATATTGTTTTTTTCTTAATTAAACATCCTGTATGTCTTAAATAGTTTTATTGTTATGAGTTGTTCAGAAATATGTAGCATTTAAGACTTATTCAAATGCTAAGTATTTATGTTTAATTTAAAAATTTTTCATGATTAAATGGAAAATAGGTGCCCGTTTTAATAACAGAGTTAGCAAAATCACCACAGGGTGATCTAAAACTCCAACATTTCTGTTTATGCCACCTTTCATTTAATAAAAGAGTAGCCTTGGGTTATGAAGGTGGGAACACGCTAGCTTTATTAATAAAGGAGATAAGCCGCAAACCAATCAAAAATGGGACACATCTTACACTTTTTCATAAATACCTACTTAATTGCAAATTTATTCCTTATATATTATCTTGAGCCTTGCGCAAAAAGTAAGTAATACAGAACACCAGTTTTGGAATATAATTATATAAAATTCCTATTATGTATACATATTACGTTTTGATGTTGTTATTTTGAATAATTTTCGGTTATTCAGCGTGCAATTGAATATTATTCGGATAATAGGTCAAATTATGATTCACCGCCCCAAGTTGGTCAGTTTCATGGGGGCGAACGAGCTATACTCTATGTGGCTGTGGAAGAATTTTTGGAGAATTTTGGCCTCGATGGCAAGGCCTGTCTTCTCAGAGCCATTTGCGAAGTACAAGCACACCCTATGACTGGCTTTGGCATGATAGGCGAAATACTTAAGCTTTTTTTAAGGTTAGTACTTATTTATGCCACAAATCACAAAACTTAATTTCACAAAAATTGTTACAGGGAACGTAATTTTACTTATTACTTGATTTATTTATTAGGTACGTTTTGATATTACGCCATCTTCGGATAGTAAAACAAAACAATTAAATGTCTACTTTTCGAATAAACCAGAAAACACATTTTTTTAATGGAATACCCAGAATTTTTTTAATTCTATTGTTTGCAAATATTCCATAGATCCTGTTTAGTTTTTTGATTTTATTATTTCTTTGGGTTTTTGTGAATTTTCCTAAACAAATCTATAACTTATTTATTGGCCGCAAGGACAGCACCAAGAAGTTATTCTTCTACTTTTCTTCGCGTTATTAAAGTCTTGAGCTTAACTGGCCAGTTCTACCCGCCAGCGTCCTTAGGCGCATGATTCACTCGAAATCACGCTAAAGCGCTAAATCGGTCGTGCTGCCGTTGAACGCACCAGATCCTCCGCGTGGTGATCACCAAACTTCCTCATCGGATCGGCCCCTCTGGAAAGGAAGACCACAAATCGAGGTAGGGTCAGTTAAGTTCCGTAATTGAGCAATATTGATCCTTTCACTGTCGCAACTTCTTGGTGTGCCAGCTGCGGCCAAAGTCTGTTTCCGCGAGAACAAAACAGATCATAATCCACAATATTTACTTAAAATTAACAATTATTGATGAATTATTACCATTTTTATCTTTTTAGTATATTTTTAATATTCATTTGTTTTTCTGCTTTCGTTATATTAATCGGCGCGCTACGACTACCTTCGTAACTTAACTGACTTCATATCTCTAATAATAAAAAAAGTAAAATCATTAGTGAGCAATTAATTGGGCACAATGTGTATATTCTGCATTTTTCCATTTTAATAGTTATTTTACTTACGAATGGAATTGATGCTACAAGCCAATTACGCCATTTTCTAGCGCTAGCAAATCCCCGTTTTCATATATGATGAAAGAATATGTTGATGCGGAAAAGGCCGGTAAAGGTGAAACGGGCGGACCTGCGGAATGCTGGCCATACATGAAGGATTGCCCAAAATCTCTTTTTATACGAAAACACAATTATTACAGGTATAATAATTTACCACCATAATGAAATTGGTTGATTAAATGTATTCACTTGTTTATTTTAGTACAGGGCAAGAACACGATTTAACTAGAGAAGAACACCGGTCAGTTACCATTAACCCTTCGCTAAACGAAATGTGAAAGATAGTTGAAGTCCTGGTATAGGAAAATCCATATTTAATTATTTGGAATAGATTTAGACCTAGGCTAAGGTCTTCAATTAGATGTATTAATTTCAACTACACAATGTAAAAGATACCAAACCAACAATGTGATCTTCAATATATGATAAATGATAAACAAGAACAAAAACTTGTGGCACTATAAATATAACATAATGTTGTTAAATAAGCATAGTTGTAAAAAATAATGTAGGGTAATAAATAGTAAATAATACACATTTGCTCAATTTGTATAAAATATCTATTTGGCATTATAATATAGTGAATATGTAAGAGAAATTATTTCAAATCGTTTTGTAGTACAATAAAAACTAACCAGATCATTATGTTTATTTTAGTTTTGTCACAACTTGCAAATTACAACAATATTTTGTAACTTTCCCCCCAAATTTTTAAATACAGTAGGAAACAAGACTTTCAGCCCCTACGGTTGACGGCTATAAGTGTATCAAGTCTTGGTCCCCCCATTGTCAACTTGAGTCAAGGAAAAATCACAACAAATGTAATTTTTCTATAAATCTTAAATTGTTTCAATCAAAAATTTTAAAAAATAATATTATGTAATTATTTTCTTGTGAGTGTAAAATGGTGAATTCAGGCAATCAAAATTGTTTTAACAATAACCTTAAAATTAAGAAAATGGTAGTTCACAAAAGCTATCATTAATTTCTTATGGATTGGATGAATCCATTATAAACTCTGACAAATCTTAGGACAAAAAATTACAAAGTTCAAATATTAACTTTAATATAAAAAAGAGTGTTACTCTATCTTTAATAACCACATAAGTTACTACTAACCTTTTTACTGAGCATTTCGCTTGTGTATGTATATTAAACTTGGCAAACAATTTCAAATATTTTCAAAATAACATAAATCACAATATGTTACCAGATATGGCATTCAGTAAGCTAATTATATTTTGTTAAAGAATGATGTTTATTTATATTCCATAAATTAATTTACTATTTTGTTCTAAACCCTTGCACAAAAATTTGTTATCTTGTTAAAATCAGTTTAAAAGTATGTCTCTAAAATGGAATTTGAATAAAATAAATATAGACATAAGACGCAAAAATAAATAACTATAGTAATGTATAAGGCACTAACTTTTGATACAGTTTACAAAAAATCTTCCACTAGAAAATGTTTCTACTGCAATTATTACATTTTGATATAGATCTGCTTTCTCCCAATTTTACAACCTCTTCATCCTCCTGAACTAACAGGCCACTGTCTTGGCGTCTCTAATGATAGGAAAAAAGTGGTTAAATATATTTCCCACTATACTTCACTATATACACTCCATAATCTTTAAATTGATATTCTAGTGGAATATAACTGATGTTTTTAATGATGTTATAACCAAGTATTGGGTTGTTCGGAAAGTCATTTCGTTTTTTTTGGGGAACATGAAAGACAGTTTTCGTATAATGAATAAATATTTTATTAATTTATATATTGGCCATTCTGGTCCAACACCTTTTGCCATCTTTCTGGCAGTAACATAATTCCCCTCTCATAAAAGTTTGGTCATTGCTGGCAAAAAACTGGTTCAGGTGCTTTTTGACATCTTCATTTGAGGTAAAGGTTTTGCCATCCAAAAAATTTTGCAGGGACCGGAACAAATAGTAGTCGGAAGGCGCCAGATCGGGAGAATATGGTGGATGTTGCAGTATGTCCCATTCAAGCTGTAAAAGTTTTTGGCGAGTGACCAAACTTGTGTGAGGTCTCGCATTATCCTGGTGGAACACTACACCCTTCCTGTTGATTAATTCGGGCCTCTTCTCTTTAAGTGAATCATTCAATTTGTCCAGTTGATGACAATAGACTTCTGAATTAATCGTTGTATTGTCCGGCAAAAGCTCAAAAAAAACTATTCCTTTGACATCCTACCAAACGGAGAGCATCACCTTTTTTTGGTGAATGTTGGCTTTTGACACTCTTTGAGCCGGTTCATCTTTTCTGCTCCATGACCTCTTGCGTTTAACATTGTTGTATACAACCCATTTTTCGTCCCCAGTAATAATCCGCTTCAAAAATGGATCATTTTCTTGACGTTTGAGGAGCGAATCACACACGTCAACGCGACGACGCAAATTTCGCTCCGTAAGGACATGGGGCACCCACACATCGAGCTTCGAGGTTAAGCCCATGCCTTTCAAATGGCCATAAACAGTCGAATTCAACAAATTTAATCTCTCACCGATCTCTCGTGTGGTTATTCGCCGATTTACATCAACTAATGCCTTTATCTCATCTTTGTCAGCTTCGACCGGCCTTCCAGACCGTGGTGCAACTTCGACATCAAAATTGCCAGATCGAAATTTTGCAAACCAGTTCTGGCACTGGCGTACTGTTAACACGCCTTCTCCATACACATCCGTCAATTTTTTTCTCGCTTGGACAGCATTTTTACCTTTTCTGAAGTAAAAAAGTAAAATATGACGAAAATGCTGCTTATTGCTCTCCATATTTAAAAGGGCACCAACCAAAAACTACTGCGTAGAATTAATAGAACTTTTTCACATACAAGCCTTGCAATATCAGCTCTCAAGACATATAATGCTTATGCGGCTTAAGTGTGAAGTTGGTTTCGAAAAAACGTAATTAAGTCCTCTGACGGGCAAAAATGAAATGACTTTCCGAACAACCTTATAGTATGATTGACAAAGATGTGTGATAATTTTTATAAATTACCTAAGCTTATGAGTATGATATTTACCTTTAACTCGGTTGCCAAGCACATGAAGGCCTCCTCAATGTTTGAATTGTCTTTAGCACTAGCTTCCAAAACAAACAGAACTTCAGGCATGTATTGACTTAAAGCTTCTGCTTCTTCAAATTCCACTTCACGGCAACTTTCCAAATCAGCTTTGTTACCAACTAGTGCTAACAAAACTGCATTGCCTGAATATCTTCTTACTTCTTCCACCCATCTTGTTACTGAGAGAAAGGAAGGACGTTTGGTAATATCATAAACTATTATCACCCCATTTGCAGAACGGTAATAACTTTGTGTAATTGTTCTAAATCGTTCTTGACCTGCAGTATCCCATATTTGTAGCTAAAATCAACCAACCAGAAAGTAAATACTATGATTATAAAAAAATAACCAAATTAAATTTGTTGTAAGAAATCCTCTCAAGTTACTAACGCTATGTGATATCAACGGGTTACTAATTAAGTATATTATAATTCGTAACAATTACGTTAACATTGCCAGATTTATAGCAAACAATATTAAAATCAATAATCAAATCCTTAGCATAAAGCTGAAAAACTTGTTTAGGCAAAGCAGTGATTTACCTTTACTCGTTTCCCATCAACCATTACAGTTTTCATGGAAAAATCTACCCCTATGGTATTTCCATGTCTCTCAATAAATGTTCCATTTTTAAAACGTTGCACAACGCAAGTTTTTCCTGTTCCGCAATCGCCAATTAAAACTATTTTAAACAAAAAATCAAAACTTTCATCGGGAGGAATTGTCATGAGAGTTGTGGGATTCCTTGAAGTCATTTTTTTAATAAGGGTAATATTACTATATTATTTACATTTTAACAATCTAGGTTAATAACTGGTTGGCACAGATCATAGACAACTATATCATTTTGGTTGGTTAGTTTGCACAGATTAGGAATTGCGAGTTGTGGTAAGTTGCACATTGTAAATTATAGTTTTTTCTTATTTATTGAAAATTTCGGTCTGCCTGCCTATTCTTGAAAAAAGGAGACATTTGACATCCCGGGGAGATTTTAAGATTCCTATTCCCTAACAATTTCTCTTTAAGCCAAAAGCCCGTATTCTGTGAAAATTAAACAAATCTCAGAAAGTGAAGGTCGGTTTTGATTTTTACAAGTTATCTTTGCCATATTCGCATTGGAGGATAATTTTTTTCACAGTGCAATATGTTTTTCCTCTTGCATCACAATGGAAATGATTTCATTTTGTGGTGTTTCGAAAGTCTGCACCTTTATTACATTTCATTATTATATTTGTTCCAGGTTATCTAGAACTTACTATAAACTCCAATAAAATGGATACAAGAAAAGTTAACGCCGAACAAAAACATGATTTCGTATATAACAGAAAAGTTTCAAATATTAGTGGTCTCACCCATAAGTTGTTTAACAAGAGGTTTGGTTAATGAAAATGGCCGAATATGTTTTGTTAGAGACCTTGAATAACTGTTAGATTATATAGTGGCCCCCCTGCCGTAAAAAATGACGTACTGTAGGCGGCATTGACATTTTCGTAGAGAAGCAGCGATTTTACACAGGCTTAACTCGTTTTCTTAGAACTCTTAACGAGATCTACGCATATTTTGAGGGTATACTGCCGTATAGATATCGCATCCCAATTTATTGGCGATCTGTCAGCGGCCATGTCGGTTATTAAATCTCATTGATATGGTATCAGTACGCAAGTTACTGATACTATTACGATTGTAATTTACTAGTAAAATGGTTCAGTACATAAAATAAAATAAAAACAAATGTGTATGATTTGTAGAATGACAGACACAAAAGACATATTTTCGTAGAGAAGATAATTTTGCGTCATTTTCTTTCTAAACAACAATTTCCACACACTTACCTCATTTTCCTAGAACATTTAATGAGATCTAATCATATTTTGAGAAATTACTACTTTGTTGTTGAAATGACTACTGGTTCCAACTGCAGTCAGACACCGGTTTGCACCAGTAAATTTCTGTCATTCAGTTGAGTGACACAACACAAATACAAATCAGTTGATTTTTCCATATAGCTATTAGACATATAGAGACCCTGCCTATGCTAATGTCACCAAATTTTGAGGTCTGTTAAATAGGCGCGAGATTTGAAATTTTTTTAACCAATGGCAGCTCTAATTTGCATTTATTGACGTTCGACCCATAAGGCCTTGCGGCTTAGGTTTGGTTTGGTTAGGTTTGGATACTGCATTTTTACGCCAGTATTTTCTCAAAATATGTCGAAATCCCATTAAATTTTCAAGACAAAAAGTAATTAAGGTGTAGTTAAAAAAAATAGCGACAAGTGCAGAGTTAATTCAATTCAATTCAATGCGTTTTTCAGAAAACTGTTGGGCAAGACTACCAGGATCATTCGCCCATTGTCGACTTCCGTCGAGGATCTACGGATATTCTCCAGGAAGACTAAATTTTAAAGTTCTAAATGTCGAGGATTTTCGGATCTTCTCTAGCAAAGGAGACTGATTTTTGAAGTTCCAAATGTCGAGGATTTTCGGATCTTCTCCTTCGAAGGAGACTAAACTTTGAAGTTCTAAATGTTGAAGTTTTTCAGATCTTCTCTAGCGAAGGAGACTGATCTGTGAAGTTCCAAATGTCGAAGATTTTCGGATCTTCTCCAGCGAAGGAGACTAATCTCAGAAGTTCTAAATGTCGAAGGTTTTCGGATCTTCTCCAGCGAAGGAGTTCTTCTTTGAAGTTCTAGCTGATATACATAATGATTAAAACTTCAAAACTAACCACAAGTCGTGCAACAAAATCCATACATCCAGGGTGAAAAAGTGCAGAAAAGGCACTAATAGGAGCGGGTAAGCTAGCATCAATGAGGGACTCATACAAAATTTGGGAGTGATTCCGGTGCAGAGCACCATCAAACAAAATATGTTCAATATCTCCCACCTCTCCACAAGCACACCGATTAGATGGTTTTACGTTTATCTTGTAAAGATGTGCTGGGGAACTACAATGATTACTCCTCATTCTGCACACTGTTGTAATCTCCTTTCTGGACAGCTGCAATTTATGGAACCATGGAACTGTTGGAGGGGTCTTATAAGCTGCACCTTCGCCTTCCTTCTAAAAAAGTTATGATTTTCTTGATAGGCAATATATAGCCGTTGGGTCGCTAAGAAACTAGGATTATTTCTAATTCTAAGGGACTTGACTAAAAACTTAGAAGCCAAGATAATCCTCCTCACCTCCAAACTTGTTTCGCAAGCCTCTCCCAATAAAATATTAATTGGAGTTGATTTAATCATACCCAATGCCACTCTTAACGCCTGATATTGAATCCTATCCAGACCAGACAGGGTTTTTTTCCCGCAGCACCCCAGAACCATAGAACCATAATCGAGATGGGAACGCACAAAAGCTTTATAAAATATCAAAAGAGTAGACGGATGGGCTCCCCACCACGTCCTAGTTAGAAATCTCATAATATTAATTCCACTGGCTGCCTTATGGATCATCCTGCCAACTTGGGGAACCCACGTAAGCTTAGCATCAAATGTAACTCCGAGGTACCTAATTTCATTTTTCAAGGGAATATTTACACTATTAATTATCAAGTCAGGAAGTCCAACCAGAGCAGATCTAGAGAATATAATAGCAGACGACTTTTGCGGACTAAGCTGCAAGTTAAACCTATGCATCCAATCAGCCACTGCCGCCAAGGCTCTATTCAGCAAGCCTATAGCAAAAAGGATATTAACATCGCTACAAAAAAGGACAATATCATCTGCATACTGGATAATAGAAACCCTAGAAGGAATTACTAACTTAATTGAATTTACGTATATATTAAATAAAAGAGGCGCTAAGGGAGATCCCTGAGGGACCCCCTTACTGGTTGATCTAGGTCCGACCAAAAGTTGCCCAACAGCATCCTTAACAAATAAGTTCCTATTGAGGAGAAGTCGATTGATTAACCCTATAGTATCCCTAGATATACCCTGCTTATCCATATCTTTAATTAGCATGGGAATGTTGACGTTATCATAAGCACCCACAATATCCAATGCAACCATAACAGTAGGAACAGTTTTGCTCTGAGCACACAAAATATGACTTGTTAAGATGGAAACATTATCCATAACGGACTTACCTCGCCTAAAACCGGTTTGGGATTCTAATAACAATCTGTGATGTTCAAGAAACCACTCTACTCTGCACTTTAATATCGACTCCAACACTTTACCGAATGTAGATGACAAATTAATCGGCCTATAAGAACTAAGAAGATTAGGATCCCTACACGGCTTTAATATTGGAACAACCAGCTGTGTCCTCCAACTATCAGGTATACTACACTCGTTTCTCAATAATTTGTTGTAAAAATTCACTAAGAACACGGCTCCCTCTATTGGTAAATGCTTTATTAATTCAAAAGAAACTCTATCCAAGCCGGGGCATGTGTTTTTACGACTTCTAACTACAGCGATAAACTCATCCAGAGTAAAAAAGGGAGAAACTGCACTGTTGCTTCCCCCCTCAAAACTTGTCTCCTCTACGACAACATCGGCATGACCGACTAAGGAGTCCAGCAATTCCACCGGTACTGAAAAGTTAAGTGGAAGTTGACAATTAACCTGGTCAATAGCTTTTAAAAATCTTTTCACACATTTCCATACATACCTAGCACTCTCATTGGGAGATAAACTCTGGCAAAAAATTTTAAATCCCGCCCTCTTCTTTTCCCTAAGAAATTTTCTACAGCCAGCCCGAATTCTTTTTACATTAACATAATTCTCTAGAGTAGGAGAAATTTTGTAATTTCTAAAAGCCTCTCTCTTTTTAGCGATCATTAACGAGCACTCGTGATCTCACCAAAGAAGTCCACATTTACGCCCACTCTTATGTACCTTGTACAACTGGTCGTATGACGAAATAAGGGGATTGCTCAAACCAATACTCATCAATTTAGAGAAATTATCCTTCTCTGCCTTAGAAACATTGTACTTCAGTAGATACGCTTGAGCAGGATGATGTAAACTGTCCGACTTACCACGAATATGACACAATATCGGGAAATGATCGCTAAACCCTCTATCAAATAACACCCGAAAATCGGCAACATGAGCCAATTCATGTGAACAAAATACCAAATCGGGGACAGAACGGGAGTCATTCCCTGTAAATCGGGTGGCAGAGCCGTCATTAAGAATGAAGTTGTTATCACTAATAAAGTCCGATAGTAAAGAGCCGTTAGCCAGACCAACATAACTTTTAATTGTAGAGCCCCACTCTTCATTATGAGAATTCACATCACCAGCAAAGAAAACAGGTTTTGACCTAAGTCTATCAACCAAGGCATCTAGAGACATAGGGAGATCAGGAGGATTATACATCAAAACTAGAAATAGGCTGTCCATCTCCAACACTATAACCTAACATCTATCCGGCCTGGGAATATCGGACACATCTAAAACATTACAACCGATGTTTGAACGTAAAAAAACAATAATCCATCCATACGATCGTCCCTGACAAAGGAGAAACCAGATAAGGAAAACTTGATATGTGGAAGTAAAAAAGATTCATTAATCATGACTATATCCGGACCAAAGTCACGAATAAGCCTAATAAGACTATCATGATTACTTCTAATACCTCGAGTGTTCCAGTGAATAATTGAGAAATTACTAATTTGAACAGAAAGATTTGACTGTCGATCTAGGAACATTAATAAATTAAATCCTGCATCCTCCGGGAGGAGGCAGGGAGTCAAAAGGACTCTCAATTTCATGGTACGCACTTTTATTGGGTATATTGGACAAAACTTTTTTCTTTAAATTTTCAAACCGATACCAAAATTCACCAGAGAAAGAGACCGCTGTAGAAGCAGTGTCCATCTCGGACTCTGAAGATAAGTCATTCAAATGTGATATATATAAAACTGTTCTTTCAATTCACAATGAAATACTGGATGAT